CTGGCACCCGATGGGGAGAGGAGGAGGAGTACAAGGACCAAAGCAAGCTGCTGACAGGGGTTATATCTATATGGCACCCCATCCAAACCCAGCCCCACAGTGGGGTGGGAGGCTCTGACAGGGCTTTCCTCTACCTCTTTGCTTCCCCATATGCCCTCTCCTACCCGCTCTTTCTTCGTCAGCATGGCTAATCCCTTTTATTAATATTGAAAGAATTAGCAGAAAGGGCTGACCGCATGTGGTTGAAAACCTCTCGCATTCTTCCCGTGCTTAGTGCACACGAGGGACCTTCCCCAAGCAATATTATCAGTGTGTTTACGCTCAACTGACCCGTCTCAAGTATGAATTTTTTTTTTTTGAAGCTCCATTTCAGCCCCCCCCCGTCCTCCCCCTACCTCGAGCTGCTTCTTTCAGGGCAAGAACAAGGAAGGAAATTGAAAATCCCAGAGAGCCCTGGACGGTCCAGATTTAGGGCTGTAGCTTTTGTTCGCACAAACTCACTTGGCTCCTAACCGGCCTCCACCCATGATCCCGACATCCGCAGCAGCCGTTCAAAACACGGCGCAGAGCCCAGCACCGGCGGGGACCGGCAGCCACCCCTGCAACCCGCTGTGGGGCCAGCAGCCCCGGCTCTGCTCCCCACTTCTCCTCTCTTACAGCCTGCCTTTCTTCCTAACCTTTTTCTACTGTCGATAAGGAGCTTTCTAAGTTGAGATGTTTTTTTTTCCCCCCTCTGTGAGCCTGGGATGATGTTAAGATTATGCAATGGTAACAGATGTGGGCTTTATAATTATAGCTGCCTGTCCTCGGGAGGAGCCTGCCTCAGCTTCACGCGTGCTCAGCTCAGCATGGGATGCTCCTGGGGTGGCCGTAGCCTTGGCAAAACAGCCGCTGGATGGACGGCCATACCGGGAATGCTCCCCAGAGAATCACCACCCTCCTGAGGAGGGGCTGCTCTGGGATGCCAAGCAGCCACTCTTGGCTTTCCTTGTGTGCAAACACAGATTAAATTTGCGTTCCCCGGTCAAGGGAGGTTTTTTCCTGCCCTTTGAGGAGAAAAATCCCTTCTGCAGGAAAGCAGCAGGGCTGGGATAGTTCACAGTGTGCCTTGGCTGGCTGCGATGCTCCTGCTGTCCACAGGGATGCTGTTCCCCTGGCGTTAGCAGGATACCTGCCCTAAAATGTCTGTGAGAGATCACAGCCGCTGCTGAAAACTTACAGTACTGTGATTTTCAGTGTTGTCCTGTCCCAAGTTTGGGCCTTGAGCATCACCATGATGTTGTCCCTGCAGCAGCCACCTCCTGGCCAGGGCAATGCCTGTGCCAGACCCAAGGATAGAGACAGAAACTCGCTGGTCTAAAAGGGATTTTTCAGGAGTCTTCCAAGGTAGACATCCCGCCAGGCTGCCAGGGGCAAACCCAAAGCCTCGAGAAATCAGCCGGAACTTGATCTGTTTCTCCTGGCCACAGTATAACTCGGCTTCCAGCAAGCTGCGGACTTGTTATGCTTGCGAAGAAAAAGTAACTGAGAGCCTCCACCAGTCTGGTGAGCATCACCGCTAGTTTTAACTGGGAAGGAAAACACCATTCCAGCGGGTGGCAGGAGGGTTTTGCTCTGGAAGTCAAATATTTCTCAACAGCTGCAGTCATCTGGAGTTAAACCACGGAAAGCAGTTGGCAGCTTAGGATGTGACAAAATTGTCAGTGACAAATCAGTACCTGAGCTAAGAGGGCCCTCTGCTTTAAGCCTTTAATGCATTGGGGCGGCCAGATGGTCCTGCACGTGTTTTTTTGGAAGAAGCCTGCATCTGGTCCATCCTCTCCAGCAGAGGGTCATCTTTGAAGGCTAATTGCTTCAGGCAAGGCAAAGAGGAGATTGCAGTTGTCTTGGACTTCTGGCAGGCTTGAGGGCTGTGTGATGAGCTGAGGTTTTTGTTGAATAGCCTTATTTTTTTGGGTTTCCTTCCTACGTACTGTGGGTTGGACTTCCCAGCACGACTCATGCTCTGCACCCGCCAACCCGGGGAGCTGAGCCTGTGCTGGCACAAGGTTTTCTCCCTGCACCGGAGCCTGCCACACCTTGCATGGCAGAGTTAAAGATGCCAGATGTCTCTAAAAGTCTTGTGTAAATAACACCTTCTTACTCAGCCCGTCCACTCCCTAGCTGCATTCGAAGCCAGGTTTGCTGGCACCCATGATAAGGGGAAGGGTTTTCCACTGATTTATTCCCAGCAGCTCTGCAGAGCCAGAAATGAACAGAGAAAACTCCAGGGTGGATTTGCCGAACGAACAACAACCAGAGAGGCGACCGGCAGCATTTTACTTTTAAACTAGTTGCTGTTCAATTAAGGGTCATAGCTGAAGGTACTGCTTGCTGGCATTTCCAGGGTTGTTTTTAAGAAGTGGCAATTAAATGCCTGCTGCTGTGGCCCGCTATATATTTTAGCGTGCCTGGCTGGAGTGCTTGTTAACAAATGACTTGGCAACCTGAGAAAGCAAATTTCCCTCTGTCTATTCTTGTCCCCTAAGGGTTTCTTGAAGCATCTGCTGCTTTGCCTTTTATTCTGTACAGCAAAGCCAGCTGCTGGGGCATGGTAAGCATGGCTTGCACAGCTGAAAGCTTTTAGCGAGAGGGGAAGGGAGAGAAATTCTGTGCGCTGCCCTCCAGCACACCCAAATTTTTCAGCAGGGCTGCTACAAATGGACTTGCGGGCTACAATTACAGGCTGGATATTGGCTTGCAAATGAGCATGGCAAGCATCCCCTGCGACTTCGACTTCGTATCCCTTCATCCACGGGGCACCAGCAAGCAGCTTGTTACATGGGACAGGGGTTGACTGCTGGGACAGGGTGGGCTCTGAACAGCAGCAGCTGCTCGGCGAGTAGTGGCACTGCAGCCACTACTGGGGTTGTCACTGAGGGGCTCTGTTCCACTGCAGCTCTCATCTCCCTGGGCCTCGTGGTGCTGGGGGGTCACCTCGTGGTGACCCCTGGGATGAAATGCAGACGGTCCTACCTACTTATCTGTTTTTTTCTTGGTGGGTTCCCATGAGGCTATTGCAGAAGAAGAGAGGAGACCACTTCCAAAATTGCCATCTCTGCTGTGGCAGGAACAGCAGCCCCAGTGGAGACATGCAAGGCAAGGATGAGTAGGTGTCTCATGGGGTGTTCTTTGAGGCACAACTTTCCTACAGAAAGTGCTTGGAGGCCAAGGACAGATGCACAAGACTTCACCTTCAACATCAGAGCTTTTGGGCAGAGACTGAGCAGTGCCCTTAGCTGCCGCCTGTGTATCACCCACAGCCCTGTTTTGAGATGCCATGGGTGTGCCAGGGAGTGGAGCAACGTGAGCAGGGCATGTCCCATAGCCTGGTGGATCTCCGAGCTGTGAAGTGGGGAGGGTTCCCTGTCTGTATATGGCTTTTCTCAATTTCTTGAGAGGCTTCCAACCCAGAGGTTGTGTTACAAGGAAGATGGGCAAAACTAGGATCTCACCGTTTCAGATGACGCAGCCGTGATTTGGACTAGCTTTGACTTGCCATGGACTTTGAAGAGCATCTGAGGCTGCAGTGCCAGCTAAGCCTCAGGACCATAACGTAGGGCAGGGACAGTTAGTGCTGGTTTGCACATGACCGATGGGTAGGGAAATCCTGGCTGATGCCACAGGCTGGAAACCCTAATTTCTCCTGTGAATCTCACTGGAACTGCACATGGGAGCTGTCACTGGATGCTCCGCTCCAGGCAGTATCTGGCTGGATGGCAAACGGAAGGCTGAAGCTGCAGCCACTGCGGCTGCTACTGGTGCTCAGCGTTAAGGACTGAGATGAGAAGTTGGCTCTACTGAGTATCATCTTCAGTCCTGACTTACTACCCAATTTAGAAAAACATTTATATTGTACTTTTCTAGATGCCATAAAGCATGTAATGCCTGTTGACCTCCATGAGCGAAGTAGTTTTTGGGTCCGCAGCAGGTGATAGAAATGCAGGAGAAACTTGTGGAAAGAGGGGATGGGATTGCTGTTGTTGCACATCGGCATGGTGGGGAGCAAACGGAGGCAGGGGAAGAGTTAGCTAAGCTGAAGGGTAACGTTGGCTTGGGAACCAAGTTTATTTCATGAAAGTGTTCATTCATTTTCTGATGGAATAAGAAAATTATTCTGGGCGATGGAAGGGGTGGGAGTTTGGAGCAGCCTTTCAACAGGAGCAAGAGAGCAGACCCAATCACTTTTAAGATGGTGCAGGGGCTCTGGCTGTGTTAGCTCACAGAAAATAGACCTGTAAATGCATGAACCCATGTTTCCATCTTGTTTCGTGTGTTCTGGTAGACATTAATGTCAAACATGCAGAAGTGTCCACCACCTTGGGGTGCTTCAGCACCTGGATGGCTGGTGTAATCCATACCACTCATTGATCTCATCTGTCCCAGTGCCTCGTTGTGGCTGGATGAGCTATGCCAACCCTCCTGTTTGCTCAGCAGTTCTCAGACAGCTTCATGCTGTCTCGTTGGAGGCAGTGAGATTTGGGGTCAGTTGTCCAGCAAGTACCGGCCAAGTGGAGAGAGGGGAAGAGCCACGGGGCCCTCTCTGCTCCCATCACACCCTTGGGATGAGGCACATGGGCTGCGCTGGGCTCCAGCTGGCCATCAGCTCTGGAGGGCTACAGACGCCTCCCATGAACTGCACATATCTCCACTGGTTATTTATTTAAGACTTTCTTTTTGCTGCTTTAAAGATTCATTTCTCCTAACACACAAAAAAGCATGCTGGTGCTGAATTGAATTAATCTTGTGCACAAAGGTGGATTTCTGAATTTGGGTTCCCAGACCAATCTAATTTCCACTGGTGTGAATCCAAAGATACATTTCATGTCTGTGTTTTGATTATGCAAAATTTTCTCTAGTGTAAATGAGATCAGAGCTTGGCCTCGCTGTTACTGCAACAGGCTGAGCCTGCACATCCAACTCTTACGGGATATTAATTTTTTTCTTGTTTTTCCTTTCAGTCATTGAAAGCAGCCATCAGGCAAGGAGAAGTTCAGACACTGAGATAAGGACTTCTGGTGCCATCGTGGGCAACATGGAGCTGGTGACGATGCTGGCCAGGAGCAGGGAGCGGGCATCGCTGCCTGTCAGCCATGGTGCAGTGCTGGCGGTGAGCGGGGTCATGGGGCACACTGGTGGCCCCACCAGCAGTAGGCTTGTCACTTCATTGGGAACAGGACCCTCGGACAGCCCATCTGCAGGGACAGCAATTCACCTGCCTGCCCGCAGCCATCCGCCTGGTAAGTTTTATCTAAACAAGCGTACCCATTTGCCGTACCCAACCCATGGATGGGGCATAGCTGGTCAGTTAGGAATAATTCTTGCCCCACTGCTAGAAATTCAGATTTTTAGAATAAATCCAATCCCAGGAAAGGTGCTATTTTTTTTAATGTGACAATGAAGGTGATTTCAGAAGCTGCTGCTGTCATTATTCGCCACCCAGCAGCACCCAAGAGTCCTGCCCATCCACAGAGCTCGAAGGCTGTGCACAGAGCAGAGACCCCTGACATCCCCATGCCTCCTCCTGGGAGGAGCTAAACCCCTTTGCGAACCCAGCCCAGATTGTAAGTGCCTGAGTTAAAAATATCCAACCAGCTGTGTCGTGGTTTGTAGCTGAGGTCCTCACGTGGAGATCATGCCAGTGAATGCTTACCTTTGGGCTTGTCCATAATCTTCACTACATTTGGTGGGGCTGTGGTCATGAGTAAACCTGTGTACTTTTTCAAGCATGCACTAAATCAAAGCCTGTTTCCTCCACCAGCAAGACAAGTCTGTGGTCCTTGCCCTGTCCCCATTTTAGTGTTTTTTCTTAATCTTCCTAGATGAAATAACTGTTTTGCTGAGATATGAGCATGGGAGTTGCCTTTAATTTTTTAATTCCTAATTTTTTTTGCTGCTTAGGGACTTGAGAGTGGGGCTGATGTGCCCAGGCTGCCAGCTGCTGGCTGTCCTGGCATAAGCTTACTGCCTTCTGCATTTTTAATTATTTTTGTTTTTAATCTGGATTTCTTTTGCCACACACAAATGAAGACAGATTTTGAAATACTAATACTTTTTGGTGACAGAAACTCTCTGTTCCCAGCAGTCCCTTTTGCAGTGTGCTCTGTGTTAAACAGAGGAAACATGGAGGATGCAGCCATGTATGGTAGGGCTGGGTACCACCTCAGGCAATGCTGCTGCCACCCCCAAATTAACTTGTCCAGGGAGAACGTGACCCACTCTGTGTTGCTTTCCAGCTACTGGAAGCCATCACCATGCTGTGGGCAGCCGGGAGAGAGGCAAGAGGGCTCTGGCTTCTCCCAGCACCCCTGCAGCTGCCGAGGGGACGACGCTGGTTTTGGCAGACATCAGCACCAATTTGACTGACAGGACATTGGTTGGGCACTACAGGGCCTGGGACAAGGTGGGGTTTGACAGCGTGACAAGGACGGAGCTGCTGCCTTCATCCGCAGAGACTCGTCACCCAGGTGAGCCATCCCAGTTCAACCTGGGAACGATTTGAATGCTGTTCTCTGGATAAACTGGGCGTCAGTTAAGCTAGGCTCCCCTGCATCACTTCAGCTTTTTGTGCTGGATCCTGCTCTCCGTCCTTCCCTGTGCTCAGGGAAGGTTTCTGGTTTGCTTCATGCACAAGGGTGGAGAGAAGCATCCATGCAGCTTCTCCTGGCCCTGAAAATTAGGAATTGCTTGGTGCAGCTCCCAAACACAAAGTTGCTGTAAGCAGAGTGCAGGCTGGGGAGGGGGAGGCAAAGGGTGATGGTGAAGGATGCTTGTAGGCACCTCAGTCTGTTTCTATGCTCTTATTTGCTTTCCCCCATTGCCTTGCAGGCACTGGCAGCCCCTCTGGACCAGCGAGGGGCTGGGTGGGGACGGAGTCGCCCCACAGCCCTCCTATGGGCACCGCAGCCACTTCACCCAGCCTCTCAAGGAGCGTCGGGGGCACACTAAGCCCCCTCCCCAGCACCCCCTTCCCTGGCTTGCTGGGACAGCCCCAGTCCTCCCCGAAAGCTTCCAGTACCCAGACTGGTGCAAACCACATGGCACGACGCCCCAGGGATGGCACAGGGGACCCCACAAGCTCTTTGCTTACAGTATGGCCTGCCACGGACAGCACCTCCAGGGGTGAGCTTTGCTGGCCCCTGGGTTTGGTTTCGGTTTCGGGCTTTAGCAAGCCTTTAAGTGTCTTCTACTCTCTCAAAACAGAATAGGGAAGATGCTGTGTTTTGCACACACTCTGTGTTTGTTATTATTTGGATGGTTAGCTGAAATTCTCTGCTGAAAGCACGATAAAGCAGTGGAAAAAAATGTTTGGTTGAAAACCCCCCAGCATTTTCCATTTAAAAAAAAAAAAAGAAGAGTAAAATCTTTGGACCTTATCCACTGTGTTTTCTGCAGAGTGGGCATCTGCAGCTGTGAAATATCTTGGCTGGTTCAGTGCCAGCTGCAGAGCAAAGGCAAGGTCCCAACCCCTCCCAGACTGGGTGTCCCACTCGAGGAGAGCTGCAGTGGGACATGGAGTTGGTAACTCATGGCCACACTGGGTGGGTTTGCTCTTGGTTGCATGGGGTGCGATGCCTGTGCTGCAGCAACCTGTATGGGACAACAAGCCTGAGATCCTTGGGCTGCAAGGTCTTCCCCTCTTGCTTTGCAAGCACCTGTTTCCAGGGCTCTCAAAACCAGAGACTTTACCCCACTCTGCACAAACATATGGAAAACCTCGGCATTGCCGAGTCCTTACCCTGTGCCTGGGGCTTGTCAGGAGCAAATGCATCCCTGGGGCTCTCACGTTAACACGTCCCTTCACTCTGCCACAGCAGCTGGGAGCAGCGTCACAGCTGCAGAAGACCCGAGGTCTGGTATCCACAGGGCAGTGCCTGGCTCCATGGCGCAGCCCCTGGCCTCAGCACCCTTCTTGGTGGCCCTGACGTGGGGACGCTTCCCTGGGCCCTCCACAGAGCACCAGCTCACTCCTCGCCCAGCTTCTGAAAGCACTGCTGCAGGTGAGCTTGGTTAGTTTATGAGTTGTTGTTTTGCCCTGTTTTGTGCTGGACTTTGCACTTCCTTAAGCATTTTTCACTGTGTCCTGTTAAGCCCTGGGCTGTGTTGTGAGCTGCAGGCTCGTGTGGGAATGTGGCCCTGCTCAGGTTTCCTCAGTTTGCCATTTGATGCTGTGTTCAAGTTACCAAAAAAAAAAAAAAATTAAGTGAGCCTGGGCCGATTTCCACCGGTCTTAGAGCAAAGGTGGGATTTAAAGGCAGGCCCCTGCAGTCCTTGTCCTGTGGGTTCTCCCGCTGGCCAAGCCGCCCCGGCTCTCGCGCAGCCGTGCTGTCCTGGCAGCGAGCCCCGGGTTTTGTGCAAGGCCTTCCTGCAGCGAGGGGATTCATGCCTTTCCAAAAGAGCACTTTGTCCAGATTGAAAACTTCCTATGCTTAATATCCGTATGTGCGCTGTAAGCATCTGGGAAGAAAACGGATCCATCTGTTTATAATTTCATATGTATAAATCCAGGTTTTTTTATTGTGCTGTAGCCGTTGGAAGCAGCTACCAGCCGTCCCGCGTCTCGGCCATGGAGAGGAGAGTTTCGGATTTCCCCACCACCAGCAACTCCGTTTCCACAACAGCCACCAAAGGTGGAGGGAGGACGTTAAGGTCTGTGCCAGCCAGCACCAGGCTGGCCGGTGCAGCAGAGATTTTCACCGCTGATACTGAAATCTCCAGCTCTTCCAACCAGACCTGGTCCCCTGGGATGTTTTTGGGAGCCCAGGCTGGTGGTGCCACAGATCCGTTGCTCACAGGCTCGCTGTCTGCTTCAGAAAGCACTTCCATGAGTGAGTTTTGATAGCTAGCTGTATAACTCAGAACATTATTTAAAGACTCTTTATAAACAAAATACATCCTTTTTATTTTAAAGAAAGAAGGAATAATATTGTACTTGGCACATTCTGTACGCTTAAAAACATTTCACAGAAATGAAAGTATGGATAAATATTATTCTTGTTGGGAGAAGAAGATAGATTTTCCTTGAAAACTCTCAGTTGAATTTTGCAAGCAATAACTTCAGGAGTTCCTATATAGAGACCATTTTCCACCTCTCCTAATGATTTCCCAGTATTAAATATTTCCGTATTGAATATTCACACATATATTGTCTACATCTACTGATAGTAGGATGAAACCTACCCAGCTGTTTTCATTTGTGTGTGCAGTTTTCGATTTCTTTTCTCCTTTTTTTAGCCTTTAGAAGCAATTTTGAACCCAAGAGCATCCCAGCCGCAGAAGAGGAGATGCTGCACTTGGATGTCCATGGTGCTGACATGCCCAGTGTGGCAGTGGGTGCAGCAGGGTCTCCTCCAAATGGCCACTCAGCTGGCGTGACAAGGGGCTCTGCCACCAACACTGACCCCACCAGCTCTTTGGAGGTAACCTTCTCCTCCTTGGGGGCCAAAACACACCGTCCTAACAACTCACAGGAAACCACCAAGGAGCCTTTGCTCACAAGCTCCCTCTCCACCTCCAAAAGCACTTTCAGAGGTAAGTTTGTTAGTTGGAAGTTGGCTGCTTTGGGGTTGGGTGGGATTCTGCATCCCCATGCTGCTTTTCTTTAGATATGGCCTTCAGTCACTATTGGATAGGTGGGCATTTTTATTACTGGTTGCAGTGGGACTGGGGGAAAGGTGGGAGGGAATCTCGGCTTTTGGGTGAAGAAGTGAAAAAACATTAGTGTCCTCATTGCTAATGAAATTCCTGTGCTGAGAAAAGGAGCCATTGATTAGAAATACATGTGTGCACTTTTTCCCTGCCCGGGCTGTGTCCAGCCCTGTGTTTCACTGAGTGCCTGGTGCTGTGGGGAGCTCAGCCCCACAGTTGTGCCATCAGCCCAGCACTGAGATGGCAGCTTGGCTCACTGGACTCACTAGAAAACCCAAACCAGGCCTTTTTTTAGCTCATCCTCTAGATTTGCTTTGAAGTTAGAAGTGTTTACTCCTGTTTTATACAGGCTTGAAGGCAGCTTAAATCCTTAAATCACATATTGTGCACATCCTGCAGTTAAAAAATATGGGTTTAAGTTGAGCTTTTCATGGCTCTTTGTAAGCCACATGTGCCTGAATGTAGGGGATCCACCTCTTCCCTGAGCAGTATCTTTTCCAGCTTGAGAATTTGATCTGTTCAACATCTCAACAGCGTACAAACATAGACTGTACAAACACAGACTGTACAAACAATCCTCCAAATGTAGAGCTCCATATGCATAAATCAACCCTGGTTTTATTGTCTCTCAGGTGCCAGAAGCAGCCACCGACCAGTTAACAGCTCAACGACAGAGAAAAACCCCACTGCTTCCTTTCCCACCAGAGCTTACCTTTCAGCCACAGCCACTGGCAGCGGGGGGAGGCCCCCCAGGTCTGCCACAGGGAGCAGCCAATGGGCAGCAGAGGTCCCTTCATTCAGCGGTGGCACGGACAGGACCTTGGGTATGATCCCATCCTCGTCCACATCTTCTGTGAGAGAGACCTATGGAGTTCGAGGGTCCCCAGAAATGACAGATGTCACGGAGCGGGTGGCAGAGCCTTCGCTAACACCCTCTCACTCTCCTTCAGAAGGTCCTGCCCCAGGTGAAGTCAAGTTAGAAGTGTAATACCGTATTTCTTGTAAGGAAAAGGAAGACTGTTACTGTGTCTGATACTTGCCTGGCTCTTTTCTGCTATGCAGAATATATTTTTTGGAAGGATGCAGTGTGATTTTGTGTCTGAAATATTTCAACTCTTGCTTGAACAAAAAATGTGGTTTGGGTTTTTTACAGAAAAGGGCACATGTGCAAAAAGTTTTGTTATGCCAAGAAAAATTACTGACTTTCAAATCATGATTCCTTTTTACTATCTCCAGTTGCTATCTCCATTATATAAGCAAGATATCTAAGTGAAGGAGAATTAGATCATGTCCTTGCAGTCTCAGGGACTGGACTTCAGCTCCTGCTCTCTTGGAGGGACCATGCTGCTTCCCAGAAGTTCAACAAATTTAAGACAACTTCAAGTGTGATCTGTGAGGTCCTAGGCCCTGCTGTGGTGCTGAAGGGGTCTGGTCCCCCTGATCCCATTTCTTCAAACTTCTTCTCTAAGACCTTCACACTGCTCAGTGTTGTGCCTTGTCTGAACTGATTTCCAGGCTTTTCTGGGTTGTTTTATTTGTTTGTTCTAGCAGCATGGAGTACACTCAGGCACATAATGGTGAAATCAAGTGCATGGCATAGCAGTTCAACAGTTACTAGATAATAGCACTTTTCTCAGCATCAAACCATGTTTTTTAGAAAACAAATTTCTGTAGGAAGTGTTCATGTCTTTGAAAATTTCCTATTTTCTCTGAATTGACATACCATATTTTCTACTTGTCCATGTACTTGCTTCCCCTGGGTGTAACTAATAGAAAGCTCATCTGTTTATTTATATCTTCACATGTGTAAAAATGTAAATTGTTTCTTTATCACATCTCAGCTACTGGAAGCAGCCGTGTGTCATTCAGCATCCTGTCAACAGAGAGAAGAACTGAATTCCCCACCACCAGCACCTCTGTTTCCACAGCAGCCACCAAGGGTGGAGGGAGGATGTTAAGGCCTCTGCCAGCCAGCACCAGGCTGGCCCAAACAGCAGAGATTTCCACTGCTGGTACTGAAAACATCAGCTCTCCCGATCATGCCCGGTCCACTTTGGGAGCCCAGGCTGGTGGTGGCAGAGGTGCCACAGCACAGTCCACACATCTGTTGCTCACGGGCTCACCATCTTCTTCAGAAAGGGCTTCCCCAGGTGAGCTCTGACCATTCCCGTGGGGTTTCTCTCCATAGACCACAAACATCCGCTCTGTATGGATGAGGGCATGCTAGAAGATGCTGGACACTGGCATCAGACGTGGAGGAAAATTTCATGCATCAGCTATTTTGGGATTTAGTCATCAGAAAAAAAACAGAACAGCCTTACTGACAGAGTGGTCTGGCCTCGCGATTTGGTGTGTTTTCTGAGAGAGCACAAGTTCAAGACCGCCCCATTGGCTCTGTTTATACAAAGCAGGAGGCAACGCCAGCCATTCCTGACTCCCAGCCTAGGATGCAGATGCATGTACAGTCCTGCTGACCTTTGTTTTGAGTATCAGGGAGTTGGGTGCTGCTGTAACCCCACCTCGCCCACCGTGGTCGTGTGGGTGCCCATGGCTGGAGTGCAGTGTCAAGAGCAGCGCCGAAAGGAAGCAAACCCAAAGGTGCTGCCATGACTTGTTCCCAGTGTCCTTTTCAGGGTGTCAGGGTTGTGTCTTCACAGTTTTCTCCAGGTTTAGATCTTCTGCCACGTTATATTTGTGCTGTCAGCCTAAGGGTGGTGATGAAAGAGAGCGTGCCCACCTCTTTATAGCTTAGTGTGCATAAATCTATTTTGCTTTTCTTTTCTCAACAGAAGAGACCTCAGCTATAGGAGGACGCCTGCCTGATGCTGCTCTCACCGGTACACCCAGCACAGTGACAGTCACCAGCTTTAGGGAGAGGACCACGATGCCCGTGTCAGACACCAGTGCAGCATCCAGTGCAGCAGGGAGCCCTGCTCCCACTTCACCTCACACCAGGTCCTTGGATATGGTCCTTCTGCCATCCTCATCATCATCAGAGCCTGAGAGGCAGAGCAGTGTTTCACAGAGTGGTGCTGGACTCGATGAGCTTGTGACAAAGCCACTGCCTACATTTTCTCCCAGCATTTCAGTGCCTTCATCTTCACCAAGTGCTTCAGGTGGGTTTTGTTGTTTCCTGGTTTGCCATGAAGGGCATGCCTCCTCCTTGCCCCCTTCCTGAACTCCCATCTTCATTTTTTCTATCTTTAAACTAGATTTGCCTTTTTAGCAAGCTTGGTTCATAGCGAAAGGTGTCTGAGCACTGCAGGGCTGGCAAGTTATTTGTCTCATGCACTTGGGGCAATGCTCGTCATGCTAGGAACTAGACGGCCATGCAGCTCTTCTGGGCCACACATGAAGGCTGTCATGGAGCCTTGACCTCAGCCCTTGAACCAGGGGAGCCTAGCATGAGATGTGGCGAGAGAACGGTAGACCTTTTGCCATTCCTTATATCCCAGTTATCATGCGTTTCAACCTTGGCTCTGCTTCCGGTGTGCCACCAGAGCTGGTTTGAAACCCACTAGTCCTCCCAAGGGAATTTTCTGCAGAATGTCCAAGACCAGGTCCTACCTCCCTGACACTGTTCTCCTTCAGAAATGCCATGCACCCCCATCTGTTTTATTTTTCTGGTGTAAAAAGCAGAAGTACAGATTGCCTGGAAGCCCGACTTAGCAAATAAGTGATGTTTGTCATGAAGCACCGCCTCTGCTGTGGGAATTTAAATATCCAGATTTTAGTCCCTGTAGAGGCCTCTAAGGTATTGTTAATATATAAAATATGTATTTTAAATATATATGTATGTATGTATGTATGTATGTGTATCTCTGCTTTGCAATTCCAGAGAAAGGAAAGAGAGTTTCTGATGCTCCTACTGAGACCGTATATGTCTCAACTGCACTCTCCAGCCATGAGGAGGGGACATCTCAGGCCACTGCTAACCGTGGCACATGGAGCACGGTGGCAGTCAGCCCCACATCTCGCCCAGGCATGGCCGGGGAACCCCACACTGGCCCCTTCCCATTCTCCACAGCATGGCCTGGAGCAGGACACGTCTCATCCAGCCATGTGGGGTACCCAGAGCCCGATGTCACCCTTTCATCCAGGGTCTCCACTTACTTCTCAGCTGCCAGTGAACCTTCCAGTGAGTTTTTCTGAACTCCATAATGATGTTTGAATTAGGAATAAACCCACTCCCTCTGCCTTCCCCTCTTCCATGGGGGTTATATGACCACTAACACATCAGAGCTCTTGGAGGTGTTGTGGGCAGGACTTAGAAGTGGTGGTGATTCTGCTCCTTGTTTCGGGTATCTCCAGTTATTGGTGCTTAACTAAAAAGTCTCAGGAATGAGTTGTGTAGCTTCTTGCTGCAGGAGATATCTACTACCTGCCTGGGTTGGGATAATAATGACAAATAACACAAATCTGCTGTTATGACTCTAACAGTACTGATTGTCCCTTTGTATTTGGACAGTCCTGTTTCTTTGGAGCAGGCTTTGTACATTAAATCCACATTTAAGGTAATAGATATGCGAGATCTACTTAATCTGTATTTAATCTGTGCTCTCTGCTCTGAGATGATAAAATGAGATGTCTGCTTTTTGATTCTATTCTAGCTGTGGGCAGCAGCCATCGCTCCCTAAGCAGTTCAACTGCCAAGGAAAGGATGTTCGATCCCATCACTGATCCTGCACATCATTCATTCACATCTGCTGGTGATGGAGAGAGGACACTGCACTCGGTGACGGACAAGGCACTGTCCAGTGTCATGGAGAGCTTTGCCTCCTATGCCGAAACCAGCAGCTCTCCGGGGCCAGCTGAGCCAGCGTCGGTGGAGCAGAGCGGGACACCCAATGTCTCCACCAGCAGCGGGGGCTTTGCGGCCTTTGCGACAGAGACGCTCTTTGCACATTCTTCCAAGATACCCACCACTTCTTTCCAAAATGATCTCACCAGTAAGTTAGTGCCTCCTGGTGCACATTTCTGAGGGGGAAGTTCATGTTGTCCTGCATTTATCTATGTTGTATGCAAGGTACTCATTCATCAGTACATACAATGCCACCTGTGGGTGCGCTCAGGGGGATGTCTTCATCAAAGGACTCAAAGCCAGACCCCACCTGGCTGGGGAATTTTTCCAGAAGTGAATCCATGAACCCAAAGAGGGCACGTCTGTTTTGATGGCTGCATTATTTTTTCTTGCAGCCTAACTCGTTTCTTTTGGGTGATGCTTTCAGAAATGTTTCATGATGACCTAAGTCAGTTGTAGAATTAAACCAAACTTTCAATACCCTATTTTTTATTTTTAGAGATTGCTGAACTTAGCTGTACATCCTGAAATTTGTATTACAAGATTGACTGCACCTTTTATGCTAAATAATCTGGGTTTTTTTTGCAGACTGATGTGCTGCTCGTTTAGTATTTTCTGACTGCAAAGTTTTCAATCAACGAGTTCATAATAAGCTGCAAATTAACATAATGTAATAATTTCATCCTGCAAAGGCATGAAGTTCACTGTGTCTAAAAGCAAGCCAGCTGAAGAAGATGGATATTACTTAGTTGGGAATGGAGGATAAGAGGGAGATTATATGAGTTTTATAAATTATGAGTGATAAAGAGAACAGACGAGTTTTCCTGCTTAGCTTGCCACAAAATATCACAGAACGCTAAGTGCTCAGTCCGGTTAGAAAAGCAATACTGGAAGAATAGTGTTTTAGAAACCTGCACATTTCATGGGAGCCTTGTGTCTCTCTGAGTTCACCATTTTAGAATTAAGACGTGCAGAAGACTTCAAATTTGATAGCCACGCTTGCATGATGCACTACATTGTTAAGAGAGCATGGGCAAGTTCACAGACAAGAGAAATTTATGTATTTAACAAGTGATTTTAATATGACATCGAAATACTTTCATATTACTCTGTCTTTCTAATATATTTCATCCTTTTACTCCAGGCTTTTCAAGTACCCATCAGCGAGTCAGTAGCGTTGATGCTGAGAAAAGGACCTCAGTTTCTCATACGGATGGCACATACATTTCAACCACATATACCAGAGGAGGAGAAAGGACACTCCTGTCTATCTCAAATAGCAGCACCTCTGCTGACTCCTCAGAAAGTTCCACCTCTTTTTCTGAAATTTCCAACCCTTATGATTCATTGAAGTCTTCTGTGGCACAGGACAGGACGAGCAACGTATCCAGTGATGGCAGTTTTGTTGAACCATCGACAGAGCCGTTGCTGGTACACTCTTCCAAACTGTTGCCTTCTGCTTCTGCAGGCAGCGTACAAAATACAACTCTCTTCAACAGTGACTCTGAGTTGTTGACCACTGGCAGATCATCTGTATCTTCATCAGCATTTCCAGCCTCTTCCTCAGTGTCATCGCTGCATCACTCGCTGCCTTCAACACCACCACCAATTGACTTGTTTACATCATCAGAGTCATCTGAGCCACTCTCATCCTCTGCGATGGCCTCTTCACCCCCTCTGCAGGCTTTGTCATCCTCCTTGCCCACTTCCTCATTGCTTTCCCCGTCTTATTCAATAGCATCTTTATTGCCTCTGTTTTCGTCACCATCATCTGTCTCACAGTCCAACGACAGTGATCAAGCAAGCACCTCTGCAGCTACAACTGTGGTCAGGCGGGTGCCCTCCACAGCCACTGTGGCTGCAAGCTTGCCCAGAAGCACCAACAAGCACAATGTCACGCATCGGCCCCAAAGGAGCACCACCTTCACCTCCACCACGTCTCCACTCCCCACAGCACCCATGGAGCAGCTTGGTGGACACATCGTGTCCATGTCCATGTCTGCTCCTGTGACAGTAACTGAGACTGCCTCGCCGAGAGCTGCCACTGTCCAGCAGGGCAGCTTTGAGAAGGCAACGCCACTGCTCACCACGGCCAGTGATGCCCCATGGGCTGGGCCTACAGATGCACCTCTTAGTCCCTCACCAAGTGCAACAAACCACAGCACCATTGTCCCTGCGGTGGCACTGACCACAGCGAAACCTCCTGTGCTGGCAACACCACCTAGTCACCAGCCAACCCCAGCTGATGCCAGCACCACAAAAAATCACAGAGCTCCAACGCCTGCTGCCACTAAGCACGTGTATACCACTGCTGAAAGCACAGAAGCTGTGGATCCCACCACTGCAAGGCCTGGTAAAGTCACTGAGGAAAGCATCCCTGTTACAAGTCCTTCTGAAGCCTCTCCAACCAGCAAGACCACTGTGAGCATTGCAACTACTTTGGCTGCTACCAAACCAACCACTGTTCCTCTGTCGAGTAGCACGACTGGGCTGAGGACATCATCTCCAGCAACTGGTAACGTTGTCTAACGGTGCTCATCCGTGGTGAGGCCAGGGATGAGGGGTCCAGTATCACCTGGGTCACACTTTAAGGGTCTTCAGAGGGTTATATATGTATGACAGGTATGTTGTCAGCAGGGTCTGAGGATAAGAACTTGGTCTTCATGTTGATATTTTTAAGCTAAGGGTTTAGCAGTCAAGCTGAACTGCTGGAAAAGGGTGAGCATTCTGGTGAACATTTCTGATAGAAACATTAAGCTGAAATTTGAGAATTTCAAGAAAATAAAGCTGACTGGCCTTCCATGTAAGCATAGGGTGCGCTTTATGTGTGTTGATCAGTTGACAGTATCAATTGATACTGATCAATATCTATCTTATTCATGAGAAAAGGTTGTTGGCCAGTAAGCAGTATTTGCATTGGAACTTCTTATGGTCATTTTCTCCCTACCTTGCTAAATAATCTTCTCCCTCAGGGCCTGTTGCTTCTTCCTGGTAGGCTATGTACTGTAGTCCTGCCAAGTGTATTGTTACAGTAATTTATTACTGCTGCCAGGCTCCTTATCTTCTCAAGTAAATACATTGAGCGAAGTTTTATGTGAATGGAAACTGATTCTGTGTTTAAAGTTCAGGAGCCCGGCCCTCATGCCACTGATGGATATTGTGTGTGCTAATGCCATTAATACCAGTGAAATACTGGCAATAGTATATATTCCATCCAATAATTATTTAAAGTCTATTTCTGACGCTGATTGGTTTTAATTATAACTATGACTTCATGTAAAAAAAATTACTGTAGGGAA